AGCCCTGTCATAAATTTTGCTTTCTTGGGAAGGTTCTGGAGATTCTTGGAGATTGAGGATGTTGGAGGTATAGGAAGGACACTTTGGCTTGCAAAGTTAGGATGCCCAACTCAGCCCAACTCAGCTCCTTGAGGTTGCTCCATGGCATGCGTAATCGGGAGGCCCGGGAGCAGACACCACCTTCAGGTACAGCTGGATCCAGGTGCTTAAACAAAGCACTAGGTTTCTCTGGGACAACACCAGTTTCTCTTCTTCCTCTTCCTCCCTGTCCCCTCTTTCAGTTTTCTCATCTCTGCTGCTCTCAGCAAGTTACCCAGAGGCTTCCACTGCAGACGGGTACCCTCTGTGAGGTACAAAGATGACACTGGCCACCCAGGCAGCTCTCTGACCCTTGAGCCAAATGACAGCGCCCTTGGTGGAAAAGCCCCGGGAGAGTTTGGCTTGTCCTGGCCTGGGCCCTGTGCCCATCCTGTGCTCACATGTGGGGTACCCATGTTGTCACCTCAGCAACATGGAGGTAAGAAAAATTGTGCAAAATCTCCAAGGGCAGGGCTGCTGCTGCCTGGAGGAGGCGGGGACCCTGCGCCATGGACCCTGTCCTGGAAGCCACATCTGTGGCCACAGCAGCAGAGTGGGAAGTAGCCGTGGGCTCCGACTTCGAATCTGCTGGTCACTCCGGTCCCAAGCTCGGGCTGCGGGCATCACCGTCATCACCATCACCGGCTGCTTCCCCCCACCGCTGACCCCCGGGCGCCGTCGCCACCCCCAGCCACACAAACCCATGAGCCCTGTCCGCCAGGTGCTCGCCCCGGAGCCCAGTTCTCAGCAGGACTGAGCCAAGGGAGCCGGCGGAACCAGACTTTCCCGGGGGGCTCCTTGCCGGCAGCCCTCACAGGGGCTGGAACCGGCCTGCGCTCTCAGCGTTGGCTGCTCTCCCCGTGGCTGAGCTGGTCCCGAGGCCGGTGACCCTGGCGGGGACAGACGGCTGTGAGTCACCGGGGCTGGGGCTCCTCGGGCCCTGGCTAGTGGCTACTTTAGGAACCGGCTGCTCTGACTCAGCTGCGGGTGACTCGCCGCCCCACAGGCCGTGGAGCGGGGAGCACAGCCCCCCAGGGCACTGGGGTCTGGGAGCTGGGGCGGGTGCTGGGGCTTGGCATCCGGTGTCTGGGTGACCTTCTCCCCGCAGAGAGCAGGCTGCGTGGTCCAAGGGCAGCTGCGTGCGGGCCCCACGGCGGGCCCCGTGGCGGAGGTGACCTAGGCTTGGGAAATCCTAGAACTTGGCTGAGCCAGAGGCTAAAAGTCCCTGGAAGAATTGGTAGCTTTGGGGTTTCCCTGCCCAAAAAAAGGGGATGTCAGGGTGGGGAGATGGTGCCCAAGGGAGGCTTTTCCTCTCTGAACATCCAGGGCAGCGGTCTCCCCACCGGTCAGGGGCCCACGCAGGGCTATGGTGGCCGGGGTGCATTATGCGCGATGTCCGGGGTCCCGTGGCAGCACCCCCTCCTCCAGCCACATGTTCACCCTTTCTGCAACGAGTTCTCACTGCGGGAGAGTGCCAGGGACTAGAATCTCCAGAGCGGTCACCAGCGTCCCTCTTGGGGGTGTGCACCCCTCGGGAAGCCCCACCCTCCACCTGTGGCAAGCACCCCCGTCCCTCGGCCCCCGGGCACTGGCACCTTCACCAGACAGCGTGGGCTGTGTTCGGGCCGGGCTCGGGCAGGACGCTGTGAGGCTGCCCTCCTCCCACTTTCAAGCAGCTCAGACAGAGCCCGCAAGCATGTGGCTATGTGTGCGCAGAAGGGCGTCAAGCACAGGCCTGGGGGACCGGGGAAGCCCACCCAGAGGCACTGGGATGAGCGAGACCTTGAGGGTTGCTTAGCAAAATGTCCAGGCCCCACCAAGCGAGGGCTTGGGGGGTGGGGAGGGGTCATCTGGTAACTGCCAGCGGATCCAGGTGGCAGAAGCATGGAGATGTGGCAATAGGGAGGGTCGTGGAGCAGGTGGGGGTAGTCCCAAGAGCTGCCAGCCAGGTAACGTGGTAGGGTTTATGTCAGGCAGTGCCAAGTTCAGGTTTATGGGTTGAGAAGGGCCTCTGGCTACTGGGTGGGGGGTGGGAGAGCAAGATTGGAGGCTGCCCGGGTGGTTCCAAAAACAGGTGGTTTCTGAATTAATGATGGGAGTGGTGAAGGAAATTAGGCAGACCCAAGGGCTCCAGGGAATGTCAAAGGAACCAATTTTGCCAGTGAATCCCCCACAGGGAGTTGGAGACAGAGAGGGTGGCACCAAAGATGACTCCTAAGATGAAGTTTTGGAGAAATTGTATTGGGTCTCCAGTCGGAGGACACGGAGGAGAAGATTAGGGAAGAGAATGAGTTTCTCATTTCTGCTCGTGGCCCTGGAACCGGATCAGCCCCGTTGCTATACAAAATCACGCAGCTTCCCACGCTGTCGGTGGCAGAGCAAGAAGGAAAACCACGATGGGATCCCCGTGATCTTTCTAGATCTGTGCTTGGAGGCAATTCCCCAATCCCAGTGCCACAAACCAGCATCCTACTGAGCTGAGGGAACAGAGGCCAGGGTGTGGGATTGCTGAAGCAGCTGGAAAATGCAGAACAGGAAGCTGGAGAAGAGGAAGCTCATCCCTGTGAGGTTCCCTTGGTGTTGCTGAGACCACCGGAGGCTGATCAGGGTGTGATAGGAGCAGAGGTACCAGATGTCAAGCAGAGCCGAGGGACTTTGGGGTTCTTGCCCAGCCACAGTGAAGCCTCACAGACATGGGACATCTGGTTGTGACACTAGACAGCCCTCCTCTCAATAATAAAGATCACACTTCAGACCCGAGCTGGCCACAGACCTCTCTTAACCCGTAACACTAAGCTTCAACGACATTTGGGGTTTGGAGTTGATTCTTGCTGAAGAAGTTTGGCAGACCATGTGGCTTTCCACAGATCTGCCACCACAAGAAGAGAAGCAAGATCACACACGTGCAAGTCTGATCCAGCCATTGAACCGCTGCTGGAACAAAAACCAACCCTCTTCAGAAGAAGATATCCTAACCCAGAATTCCTACAACACGTCGTTCCCACTGTCCAACACACAATCAGCACTCACTGAATGCACAAGACACAGGGAAATGTAACTCATGGTCCAGAGAGGGAGGGAAAAGTCAATAGAAATCAGTCCTCAGATGGTCTGGATATTAGATTTAGCAGACAAATTTTGCAAAGCAGTTTTTAATAAATATGTTTAAAAAATAAAGAATATATGTTGAAGAATTAATGGAAAATATGATCTCCATAAAAGAACAGATAAGGGATCTAAGCAAGGAAATGAAACTATAATAAAGAAGCTCATGGAACACTACATGACATGCACCTCAAAGACATCTTTACAGACACATCACCCAAAGCAGTGACAGTGAAGGCAAAGATCAACAGCTGGGACTCCATCAAATTAAAGAGCTTCTGCACAGCAAAAGAGACAATAACCAAAACAAAGAGAAGCCCCACCGACTGGGAGAACATTTTTGCACACAACACTAACGATAAAGGACGGATCACAAAAATCTGCAAAGAGCTGATGAGACTCAACAACAACAAAGAAAATAATCCAGTCAAAAAATGGGCAGAAGAGCTAAAAAGAAACTTCTCCAAAGAGGAAGTGCAAATGGCCAACAGGCATATGAAAAAATGTTCAACATCACTTGTAATCAAGGAAATGCAAATAAAAACTACCATGAGATACCATCTCACACCAGTGAGAATGGCACATATTAAAAAAACTAGCAACAACAAATGTTGGTGAGGGTGTGGAGAAGAAGGAACTCTCCTGCACTGTTGGTGGGAGTGCAAACTGGTCCAACCACTATGGAGAGCTGTGTGGAGATTTCTGGACCTACTAAACATAGAGCTTCCATAGGATCCAGCAATTCCACTCCTAGGTATTTACCCAAAGGACACAGAAACATCCATTCCAAAGAGCACCTGCACCCCTATGTTTATAGCAGCACTGTTTACAATAGCTAAGCTTTGGAATCAACCCAAATGCCCAAAAATAGATGACTGGATCAAGAAGATGTGGTACATATACACCATGGAATATTACTCAGCCTTCAAAAAAGATAAACACATGCCATTTGCAGCAACATGGATGGTGCTGGAAGGGATCATGCTCAGTGAAATAAGCCAGAAAGAAAAAGAAAAATCCCGGATGGTCTCACTCATAGCAGGAATCTAGAAAACCTAAATAAGGGACCAGGAAAAAGAACAACTATAAGAAAGAAAAAATCAAAATCAACCAACAACTATGAACCAGAGACACACTATGGGATGTGGGGGGCGGGGAAAGGAGAGATGGGGTCAAAATAAGGGGGTTGCAATTGTATGGGAAATATAAAAATAAAATTAAAAAAAAAAAAAAAGAAGCTCAGGGAAACGCTAGAACCAGAAACAACTGCAATGAAGACTTTAAACTCACAGCTGGAAACACATCACCGCACCTGTAGGATATCTGAGGAGAAACACAACACACCCAGCTGGAGAGGTGGGTCTGAAATTCAGGAGGCCACCCAGGCGGAGAGCAGACCGCTTGAAGTCATCAGCGTGGAGATGCTCTCACACCCAAGACGGGAGCGCTGTGTGTCCCTCCCCTCAGCTGAAGCCTTCACTCCCAGTGGAGAGATACAAACCAGCCAGCCAGAAACACGGTCTGGAGAGATTAGGTGACTTCAGTTAACACCCTTTCAGTCCCTGCCAGAGAGCTTTGCCCCCAAGCAGGCCTCAGTCAACCCTGCCCTGTTCACTCCCCAGCTACAAATTACAAACTGCTCGTGAGGCACAGAGGGGGTCTTGGGGACCTTCTCTGCCAACTAGAGTTGCGTTGGACAAGTTGCCACGGACAGGCTCCTTGTTGGGTGTCTGCAACTGAGTCTCCTGCTCCCTCCTGCTCTTACAAAATGTGTTCTGTGATCTTATTTGATTCTGGAACCAGCAGGGTCGCCATGGGTGCCCCACACCCCTGGGCTCCAGAACCCAAGGGGGAAAGTAGAGAGAGTGGCAGCTGTCAGGAGCTGCCCTTGGCGACCCAGGACCAGGGCCTGTTGGAAGAAGGGATTGGAGCTGCTGAGACAGAGGTGAGGAGCCCCCCAAACAGTAGAGAGTTAGTGACCAATAGTCATCTTACCTGAGCTCCTACCTCAAGCAGGCACCGTGCTCAGCATGGCATAGTAATTACCACAACAGCCTCATGGGGTGACAAGTCCACTTTTGAGGTAAGGACAGAGGCTAGGACAGCCACTAACACAGGGTATGAGAGGGGGTGGTAGGACTTTGAACCCAGACCTTTGGCTCCAGAGCCTGCGGGTTCAGACAGAGGCATGTGCCCATCTTGTCTTTAAACCAATTTCTTCCAGGGTCGATCTGGTCTCTGCAAAGTCTCTGCAAATGATTCATCATCTTCCCAGTTGCTCAGACCAAACACCCGGGAAACACCACTTCCCTGCCCCACAATCGCCAGTGCCTGAACCAGCCCTCCTGTCTCTACCTTCGAAATAGGCCGGAACCTGCCCCATCTTGCCAGGTGACCCTCTCCCGCCCTCTCCAGCGAATTTAAGAAGCTTCCCCAGACTGCCCCCCTCCCGGCCCAGGCAGGCAAACAGTGGTGGCGATGGTGACGCAGGTAATAAATCGTAACCCTACTGAGCACCTTTCACGCCAGGCGGGCGCCGGGAGCCTGTTGTGCGTTCTCTCTTCTAATGCCACAACAGTCACCCTGGGGGACACGATCCTCTCCCCACTTTCCTGGTGCAAACTGACGGTGAGTCACTGAGACACTCCCCACACTTGGTTTATACGTTTTTGTCTACAAACTTTCCTCCACTCAAACAGGGGTTGTCTGTTTCTCCTGCCCTCACCCGCCTCACACACGCCGGGCGTGCCCCCAGGGCAGGTGAGCCGGTCGCTTTTTGGGTGCATGGAGCTGAGCAGAGGACGTGGCCCAGTGTAAGTCTTCTGTGACTCTGGATGGGTGGGTGGGTGTAGGGTGGGTGGGCGTGGATGGATGGCGAGTGGCTGGGCAGGTGGGTAGAGTTGTGGAGTGGTGGCTGGGCGGGTAGACGGGAAATGGGGGGCTGGGGGGAACGGGTGGTTGCATAGAGGATGGTGTCCATACAGCCCACTCTTCCAGCACGGTTCGTTTCCTAGATCCTCAGCTAGTTCCCCCGTCGACCGCAGTTGAAGGAGGACTTTTATATGTCAGGGGTGAGCATGGGGGCCTAGAGGCTGGGCCCAGCCCCTCTGACCGTCCCCTTCATGGTCACTCTCTAAATCAGCCTCACGTGCAGGTGCTTGAGAGGCGCACGTCGCGGAGGCTCCAGGTGAACCAAGTCTCCACGATGCTCGCTCCCCCGTCCACTGATGGACACCACTGACTCTGGCTCCCCCTCCTCAGCTTCCCAACCCCAGCTCCCAGCCAGCCCCCACCCCAGCCCGGAGCCAGCCCCCATGGCCGCAGCTGTCCGCACTTACAAAGCCCGACTGTTCGATAAGGCCGTGCCAGCTGGAAGGAGACGCTTCCCGTCCGACGGGAGGCTCTGCACGGAACCTGGGGGCAGCTGTCAGCTTGGGGGGAGCAGAACCAGATCCGGGCCTGCTTGGGGCCGGCACACTCCCTGCCCCCCGCAGCAGAGGCTCCCCTGGGCCTGGTCTTGGCTCCTAAAATTGGCTCCGGAGTGGAGGAGGGGGGTGTCCGTGGGAGGGAGCCCCCACCTCCAGGCCTCGGGGACCCCGCCTGAGGACAGGGTCAGGAGGCCCCTCGGGCCTGGGGCCGGGTGGGACACTCTTCTCCTGGTCACCAGCCCTCAGCAGTGAAGTCCGGTGATGTGCCAGGCAGAGCGGTTGACTGACCAGGATGGATGCCGGTGCCGACCACCGGGCTGCCAGGACAGCGCGGCCGCGAGTCCAGCGGGGTCCGGTGAGGAGCCGCGTGTCCCTGGAAGGCCTCTCTGCCAGGTTTGCGGGCAGCTGCGCAGACGGCCTGTCGGCCCACCGGCCAGCGCGCCACACCAATTTCCCAAGCACCTGCTACGTGCCACCAGCAGGCCCTCGAGACACCTGTGACCCCACGGCGCAGCCCCTCCCCGGGGCCAGCCCTGCCCACTCCCCGGGCCGGACCAGGACCAGCACAGCCGCCGCCTCTGCCAGCTCCTCGGATTCCTTCTGAAAGGCTCTAATTACATCCTGGGAGAAACAATTAGAACAAAACTAAGGGTTTTTTCCCTTCCTCCTCCAGGCGGGGTCTGTTTAATAACTTAATTAAATAAACAGAATTATAATTACAATGTTAATATTTCCTCTCCTTAACACCGAGCGCTGGGCTGGGAGAAGCCAAACCGGGAGCCCCCCCTCCACCAGCCGCCCGGCCCGCGCCGCCTGCGCCCACCCGGGGCTGGGGCCCAGCCGAGCTGGCAGGAAACTCAGCCGGGACCAGCACGTCCTCCCATCCTGAGTGTTTACCGTCGAGCTCAAACCACACCATGGAAATTACTCTGAAGCTCCTAATTGCACATTTCCTTCCTCCAACCATTTTCTCTTGACAGTCGACTTTGAAACGCTCACCACTTAGCTCTCCCTCGCGGGGGCGGGGAGGAGGTGGGGCTCCTGGGGCGGGAGCCTCAGGGCCCGGTCACTCTGGGCATCTCCAGGGAGGCCTCTGGGGGCCCAGCCACCCCCACCCGGTGCCCCGAGTCTGTGACACGTGATTGTGAAGTCCACCTGCCAAGCGATGGCGCTGGCGGGCTGCGCACAGTAGGTGCTCAGTAAGCGTCACGCTCTTCCTGCGCAGCTTCCGGGGAGGAGGCAGCGCGGGGCCTTCTGGGCTGGCTCCCCGGGGTGTGCAGCGAGACGTGGCCCGAGAGGCTGCCGCATGCCTGCCCGGCCCGGCTGCTCCTGCGGGGCAGTGAGGCCCGAGGCGCCTGCGTCCCTGTGGCCTGGCGTCCAGGGCGGGAGTTGTCCCGAGAAGCGTGGGCCTCACGCCTGTGCACGGACAGCCTAGCAGAAGCCCACGGCCCCACTGGCCACTCCCGAGCTGACTGGGCGGGCTTAGGGCTCGCCTGGGTTCGCCTAACGAGCCTTCTCTTGCCAGCTCGGAGCCGGCCTCGATGGCCCCGCTGGGATGGGCACAGCCACCTCCCGCGTGCGTCCCAGGCAGAGGTCAAGGCGATCTGCCTGGCTTCCTGCCCCCACAGCCTGCACCCCAAGGCCCACTCTGCGCCACTGCCTGAGCGTCTTCCCAGGCTCGGTCCCAGGACAGGGGCAGGCCACACACCTCCCCACCCAGCTCCGGCCCCTCCGGCCTCCTGGTGGTCCCGGCTACCCACCCCCCCAGTTAGTGCCGATGCTGCGGAGACCCGGGGAGGCCGGGTGGAAGTGGCTGCAGCAGCCTCCCCTGTGTGGCTGGGGCTGGGGCCACAGACGGGGGTGGGAGTTGGGGGGGAGGCCATGCCCTGCTGGCAGAGTGGAATGGGGCAGAGGCAGCGGGTGAGATGGACACATGAGACTCCCGGAAGCCGGAAGGGCGGGGTGAAGCAGAGAAACTGGGAACCGGCCCTGGAGACAGAAGGGACCTGGATTTGGAGGGATGTGGCGGGGGTGACGTTGCGTCCCCCAAACAGGGGTGCCAGGGAGACCAGGATGGGGCCATGATTGCCAGTTGGCTTGGGTTGTGGGGTTGGATGCTCTGTACCCCCAGGGGCAACCCCAAGTGGAGGGTGGGAGGTAGGTCTGGGGCACAGAGGTGCGTGGCCACCTGAGATGCCCGCGGCCGCTGCTCGTGTGCTGCCCCAGCATCACGCAGGGACCCCCAAGCAGAGCTGGGGCCAGCCCAGGTCCCACGGCCCTAGCCCAGCTCCCCGGATCTGCCGAGAGGATGCAGGGTGGACAAGACCAAGGGGGGTTCCCTTGAAAACACAACCCTTTCAGCTGCTTTCCCTGGGGATGACTGGCAAGACCCCAAATCTATACATTTTTCCTGGTGAAAAATAAAAGCAGGTCTGCCATGGTCACTGCCACCGCGGAGTGAGAGGGGACCCTCGGGCCCTGCAGCCCCGCTGGCCTCCTGCATCAGGACGGCCAGATGGAGCCGGCGCCCAGGAGGGCGGGGCCAACACTGGCCAGCTCCTGCAGACGCCCCCTGGAGGAGCCCCATCCCTCCATGCCAAAGCCCCCAGGGGAGCGCTGGGACCCCCAGATCATTTTTTCTGGCCAAGTCCTCTCCCCAGGCCCCATTGCTAATTAAGCAACTGAGACTTGTCCTCCCCCTTGGGGGGGTCTATAAGCCTCGAAAACTTAGCACACCCCAAACTGAGCCCTCCTGTCCTCTCTGCCCCCACATTGCTGCCACACCTCCGACTCACCCCCCCTCTGTCACTGTCACCGCTGGCCCCTGCCCCTCCGGGAGGACCGCAAGCCAGGCCTGAAGCAGCACATTCTGGGCCCAGCAGCAAAGGGCGGCGTCACCCCACAAGATACCAGGTGCTCCCCAAAGGGAGTGAGGAACCCTGGAGGCAGAGCTGGCGGTGGTCAGAGGGCACCCCCCCGCACCCCCCGCCCCGTCTTCCGCCTGTGCTTCTTCACTTGAAAGACCTGCGCCCGCCGTGTGGCTTGCACAGGTGGTGCTCCCAGCAGCCTGTCCCTCTCCGGCCTCTGTTATCCGGGGTATTCCTAGGAGAGAACTGGCCGCTGCCCTCCATGGACACGCCCCGCGCCAGCTGCAGCCCCCGACGCCCCCCAAGCGCTGAGCGGGGCAGAGTCAGCAGGGCCCGCTGGTCCCGTCCTGGTCCCGCCGAGGCGCGGCCCAGCAGGATGCCTTACCCTGCCGCCGAGAGGAGCGGGCCGGGCTCGGGGGGCTGCACGACGCCGGAGGTCTTCAGGCCCGAGCAGGCCGGGAGATGCTCCCAGTTCTTCCTCCCGCACCCCCAAACGCAGATGCTTCCAGAGGGTCCCCAGGATCACTGTCCCTGCCCACACCAGGGGTGAGGCCGTGCCCACTCCTGCCAAGCCGTGTGGGGAAGGGCCGTGCTGAGGGGCCAGCAGGCCCGGCGCTTGCAGTGAGAACGCCCAGGGTCTCCTCTGCCTGCGTGCGTGTGGACAAGCCCGGAGCTCCCCCAGCTCAGCTTCCCACCGGCTGGGCTCCCGCCCCTCCCCACGCTGCGCGCCTGTGGGCGGGTGTCATGGGGAGAAGCACCCCGGCCCGGCCGGACCTCTCCTTCCCCGCCAGCCTCCTGGGGTCGGCTCACCTGCCATCACTGTTTCACTCTGCCGTCAGCCTGACTGAGGGCGAGACACGCAGTCGGGGCGGCTCAGGGATGTGCAGGACGCGGCCTGGCCCCGGCCCTGCCTAAATGGCTGCACTGCCCGCTGGTGCCAGGACACACAGGGCCGGTGGGGGTCCCGCTGCTCCAGGCACGGCAGGTGGCCGGAGTCCAGACTCCAGCCCTGGCGCCCCGGCACCCCGGCCAGCCAGATCTCCCCGCCGTGGCGGGGCGGGACCTTCGTGGGAGAGGGACACAGAGGGCGCTGCCCCCGCCACGGAGTGAGATTGCAGCAAACGACCAGGAGCTTTGATAAAATCTTATCAAGCAGCACAGTGGTGCGCGCCGACCGCCAAGCCGGTCAGGAATTGGCGGGACTATAATTTCTATCAAACTATAATTAGCCGAAGTTCCTTTTGTGATCTTGGGATCCGCGCGAGCGCAGCCTGTCATTGCAGCCGGCTAACGAGCAGCGGCCGAGCAGCGCGGCCTGCGGCTGCCTTTGATGTTGGGAGAGGAAGCGCTATTGCCAAGACATGAAAAAATTAGTGGAATTTCAAACACAGAGCAAATGGAGGCTGTGGGACCTGGGGCTGTCAGGAGGGGTGGGGGGTTGGAGGCTCTCGCCCATCCACCCAGGATGGCCTCTGGTGGCGGTCACCCCCTTCTCGGGCGGCATGCGCGAGGGGCCAGGGCAGGCCCGACGTCTCCCCGGGGCTGGCACGCATGGGGCAAACCACGTGGAAGACGGGAGGTGAATGAACGAGTGGTGTGCACAGCTAGCCAAGGTGACAGGTGAGTCCAGGGAGCGCCGGTGCTGGGGGCCGTGTCCGCAGCTGCCCAAGCCTCAGGCTGGCAACCCAGGGCCTCAGAGCAGCAGGGAGCCCCCCACAGGGGCACACAACCAGCGAGGGTGAGGACTGTCCGGTGCCAGAGGGGGCTACAGAGTGCCCACCCCCTTCCTGGGAGGTCATGCTGGCCCAGCCCTCCCCGGCCCAGCTCCAGGCCCGCCCTTGGCCCATCCAGTTGGGGCAGGTCAGGCGCCCTTCACACCCTTGGCATC